TTTTGTGTTTAATTATATAAGCTCGTCGGCCAGAAAGTTTCAAGTACTATTTCTTTGTTTCCCAAGTCTCCACAATCATTCTATTTAACTAATTAATTATAATTAATTAAAAATAAGATAATTAGACAATTTAACAAACAAAAAAAGTTAAAAATTGCAAGCACTAGTAGTGCTGGCTGTAACTATTATAAATAATAACAAATTAATAATTGTACCCATTAAGAATATACTGATTTTCCTAACTATATATTAAATAATCTTAGCCTTGGACCGATAATATTTTCATAGAGCTGACTTAAATTAGCCGCCCTACCATATGCTGGTGATCGTAAAATGTGTTGATTAACAAACCCTAATTGGATAGTTATAATATTAATGTGTTTTAAATATATGCTTTTAAGATTCAAGTTTCATATAACATTATATATATATATATATATGTGTGTGTGTGTGTGTGTATATATATTTCTGGAGAACCCAATTATAGTTTCTGGGAGGCACATGCATTCGGTCAACAGTAAACAAGAACATGGAAGGTGACTGAAATTCTTCAGCTCTTTTTTTTTTTTTTTTTTTTAAATAATTTCTATTGAATTTTTATTAATTAATTCACATATCACCATTAATGAGAGCTACCAAACTCCTCTTCACATGCAAGTGTCATGGTCCGTTTTGACAGGTACTAGCCGCATATCGTGCCATAATCCGAAATTAATAATTTAACTTAATAATATTAATTAATTTCAATTATTAGAATAAATTACACAAAGACTTTTGAGTTTTGAGTTTAGTTATAATTAATTAGTTCTATTAATTTTTTAAAAAATTATAAATTAAAAAGAGAATTAAATGAAAAAAAAAGTAGAAATTCTATTGGTCAAACTTTTCAAAATTCGTCTCTTTTGATTTTTGTAGACCGAATTGTAATAATTATTCAAAATACAAATACTTTTAAAATTTTATTTATTATTATTTTTCAATTAATTAAGGATTATTTGCTACTAATTTTCTTTTATTTGTTTATTTGTATGTCAATTAAAGAGCGACAATTTTTCACCTTCCACGTGGCATAAGAAATGGTCTTTGTTGGATTCTCACCACACAAGAGAAGTGGGTGTTAATTATTACTTAGTATGAGCTTAATTTAATTAATACTTTGTTTTATTTTATTTATCATTACGTCTCATGCTACATGATGTCACATGTTGCACCCATTGAGCAAGATACAGTGACCACATTATAAATATGTTATTGTTATATGTATGGATATGTACGTTAATTATTATACTAAAATCGATTTCAGAATCTCAAATTATGTATCAAAATATGCACACAAAAATCTTTTACTTCCTTTTGTAGTTTAGCTTTTTTTTTTTAATCATTAGTTGATACATATTATCTACCACAAAAATATATTTTTTATCTTCACATTATTGGAACTGATTAAACCATATATTATATATATATATAACTAAGCATTATTATAAATTATTATATAAAGAAGATATAATAAATATACATTTTCAATCATATATATTTCCGTTTGTGCCAAAGATTTTATTCACTAGAATATGAAATATAATTTGAATGTTAATATTATATGTTATTTTTGCTTTGGACTATTACGCATATATATATATATATATGTGTGTGTGTGTGTGTGTGTGTGTGTGTGTGTGTGTGTGTGTGTGTGTGTGTGTGTATCTTTGTATGATTAATTGTGAATTTGGGTTATGCTTATTTTTTCCCCAGAATCATAAAGGTTAAGGCTGGGGAAGATAGCATCCATAATTAGGAGTTTAATCATTAATTAATTTATACTTGATTAACTAATTCATTAATTAATTATGCCTTTTCTTTGAGTTTTGGGTGTTTATTGTTTCATGGAGTTGACAATTAGATTGAGAGAGATCCACTGAGATATATATTTATTAATTTTTTATAAATTGTAATTAGAAGATTCATTTGGGATAATTGGATCGAGGAGCTCGTGTTTTGTTATATTAATAGATTCACCATTCTAATGATTACAAAAGAGAACTTAAATAATATTTGAATATCATATAATTAATTTCTTTAATCTAACTAATTACCCACTTAATACTTCATTTTATATATGATTAGGTGGGATCATTATACTAATTTTGTCTATCTAGCTAATTAGCTACTCGATCGAGTTTTCTCAAACTCTCAACAACTAAGTGATTATATGAATCGAAGCCAATATAATTTTTTTTCTGATTCAATGTTCAATAATACGTATGAATTAAAAATAAGAAGAGGGATCGAATAAAAAACTGCTTATACTTAAGCTAGTAGACTATTTCTCTAACTCTTTATCTTAAGCAAAAATAATAATAATAATAATTATATGTACAAAAAGCACCAGCCATGTTGGCATTTACGTATAGATACATATATATAAAGGCTAATTTGTAATTACAAGAAAATTTGCCAGTCGAGAAATCAGATTGAGATGATTCATTGTGGATTCGCTCACGTACTTATTAATCGCTAAATAAGCTAGCAACATAGATACAGACTTACCAGCTATATTGATTTATGACTTGTTCTCTTGAGATTTTTATCATAAGGGGTATGCGATATATATGTATATACACACATATATATATATATTATATAAAAGTATAGTGTGTGTACGTATATATAGCTACCTATAGCTAGCATATCTTTACAGTGCATCAGTTTGAGGTGGCCTTCTAATGCATGGCGCTGTTTAACCACAGCCACAGGTTGTTGCTTAGTTGTGTTTGGCTGGCTGCGTAACACTTTCATGATCTATATATTTGTATATATATTTTAAAAAATGATCAAATTGTTCGTTTAAATTAAAGTGTTTACGTAATATACATATATATATATATGTATGTATATATCAATATAGGTGTACCAAAAAAGTTCAGGTATATCATCAATACATCACTCGATGTTATATACTTACATCATGAGTTAGCATGAATTCCCAAATGATAAAGAGTAAGTTTGTTAAAATTCGCCTGGATGATGAGAATACTTAAAAATTAATTTCAACAAGAAAAATAAAATAGGTAAAAAAAAAAAATAAATAAATATAAAAAACTGCAGCAATATCATTGCATAAAAGATCTTGATATGATTTGGTTGTTCAAATAATTATGTAGCCGTATAATATATATATATATATCATTAAAAATGCAGAACATAACTATAATGTATTTATACGTACATGTATATATAATATGGTCATTAATTAAAACTGGTCACTGGCTCTGAAAGTGAGAATTTAATCATTCCATTTATATTTTTTAATACAAATATATATTTTATATACGTATAAACCAATTATTAATTTCATATTCAATTTGCAGCAGAGAGAAGATTTCAGAAGAGAATCCTTGTTTTGTTCCTTTCTCCTAACACATGCATCGTATTATTTTATTGGATTAGTTCGAAGTTTTAAATATAAGTTTCATTTTTTAGTATTTGTTATATTATTAATTAATTAACTGATTATAATATTCTATAATATATATATATATAGATATGTGTGTGTTATAGTAATTGTTTCGAAAGATCCACAAACCCATATTCAAAAACAGTGTTTAATTAATTGTGTAATTAGCAAACTCAGACCGCCAAATTAATTAAACCGCGCGGCATCTTTTTGTGCAGTAAAGCACTAATAATATTTAATAAACCTTCTAATTAGCAATTAAAGTTGTTATAGTGGAAAGTTGAAAAGGCAAATTTCGATTAATGAAGAAGAACTCTCTCTTAAGATTTCTTGCAAGCAACCCTTGTTCATATTGATCGAAACTATATATATATATATATATATATATATATGCTTGCGTGGTTGGTGACGACTTTGAACAAAAAAGAGACAGTTATAACTTTTACATTCAACTTTATTTTCTCCCTTTCCTTTTTATTATTAGTTAAAAAGAGATAGAGTATAAGTGTAGAAGTCTATTGATATTACTTATATAAATACCTATATGTATATGGATAGGACTGTCGGGTATTCCCGAACTTCTTTCCAGATTAAATTTTCTTCTTTAATTAATTATCTCAAAGCATATTTTTTCAGGAAAATGCTAAATCTACAAACATTTTTTACAAAAAAAGAAAGTTGATGGGTGTAAAAAATATTAAATTTATCTGATTTGAGTTTCATACGTATGTGTGTACGTATGTATGCATGTAATAATATGGTTGTATTTAGATTTTGGTTTGAAAAACAAGAAGGAATGATTTCTTTTGGAAACCCTAATTCCACCAATGACTCATCTATTAGCCTGTTTGACCCAACAACTTCAAAATTGTTTTTTAATGTTATATAATATACATATATATGTATTTATAAGTAGGAGTTTCCTTGGCATACGGCTTAAACAAAGTGAAAGACTCTCCATAAAAAAAACAGTGGCAATGATAAGGTCGGTTGCAGACATAATAAATAGATATAGGGGGCGAAAATTCGTCGGCAAATTGTCAGTCACCATCCCTAACCTGTTATCCCGCCGGTACTAAATCTCACACGTGGATACCTACTCTTTCCAAAAAAAAAAAAAACTACATTAACCATAACATGTGTAAATTATATAAACATTTTATATTTTTTTTTATTAAATTAAATAAATGTATTATTTATAAATATATTGTATATATATTTCTTTATACTATTACATGAATGTATTATTTTACTCATGATGGGCAAATCATCATGGTATATTCTACGACGACTTTGAAGATTTCACGCAAGGGAATTAATGGACGGAATTTTACAGATTAAGCCACTTCAAATCCAAACATGGACTGAGTGCACTTTTCTAAGGTAACTAAAAATAAATAAATAAAGGACCGAGAATTAATTTAGTACTCAATCACCAAAAAAAAAAAATTTTGGCAAAAAAAAAAAAAAAAATGAAAGTATTGCACAGCGTGTTCACGCTTGTTGGGTGGCCGCGGCCGCCGTTGGTTGTGGTCGATGTGCCAGACTATCGTTCTTCGGGCTCGCGGTCCTGAAACGATAGTCGGAAAACCCACTTGGTGATCGTCTTCTTCCGCAAGCTCTTGAGAGCTTGATGACTCTGTGTGCGGCCATTAATGGAGTCTACGAATCCTTTGAGTCTTTTCATGGAGAGTTTTAAGGTGTCCTCCGACATGTTAGCGAAGCAGACTCGGAACCAGCCTGGTTCTGAACAATGGCAGGAGGAGCCGGGGGAGATGTTGAGGCGGACGTCGTAAACAATCTTCTTCCACAGCTCCATTTCAGCTTCAAAAGTGTTGGACGTGAGAAGATGCCTCATGTCAACCCAGCAGAACAAACCTGCATTGCTTTTTAAGCAGGTGATCCCGGCATTTTCGAGGCCGGCGACGAGTTTTTTCTGTCTCTGTCTTAGTCTCTTTTGGTTTTCTTGAATATAGTTCTTAGTGAACTTCTTGTCGGAGAGCATGGCGGAGAGGAGATACTGAGTTTGGGAAGAAACCAGGCCGAAGCTGGACATTTTTGTTGCGGCTGCAACAACCATGTCATCGTTGGAGTAAATGGCTCCAACGCGAAAACCAGGCAGGCCTAGATCTTTGGAGAGGCTGTAAACGACATGAACGTGGTTCCAGACCTCGGTGTCCTCGCATTTCCTTTCTTTTAAAATCTCCATGACGCTCACGAATCCTGGAGAGCTAAAAACTGTGCCTGAATATATTTCGTCGCTGATTAAGTGAATTCCTTTTAAGGTGATAAAGTTGACGAGAAGGTTCAGCTCGTTTCGGGTCATTGCGGTGCCGAGTGGGTTTGACGGGTTGGTGACTAAAACACCTTTAACTATCAACCCACGTTCATGGGCTTCTTGATAAGCTTCTTCCAGAGCCGATGCAGTGATTTGGAAGCCATTAGAGCTTGTACAATGAATTGGCACAATCTCTACTCCGGTCCTCCATTTGAGATCTCTATCGAATCTGCAAGTGAAAAATTATTCCTTAATTTAGTATGGTAACTTTTTACTCGACACCGAAGGTTATTGATATATGTCACAGGTAGATGTAGACAGAAGCAATTCTAGATAAAGTCCATTACGTACCCCGGATAGTAGGGTGTGGGAAGAAGGAAGGCGTCGCCAGGTTCGGCGAGACAGAACATAAGAGTCTCGTTGGCCGAGGTAGCTCCGGCGGTGAGGACAATGTTGTTTGGATCAAAAGTTACTTTGTTTCCTCTGATTTCCGCCATGAAATCAACCAATGCCTGATCAGAATACATACACGTAAACTCATGATCAGTCACATGTTTTAACGTAAGTATATTTTATTAATCATGTACAAATATAGATACGTAGTTATGTTTAACTGAAGTAACATATCCTACTTTCTTGAATGCGGGGAGGCCGTGATAATCCTGAAACAGAGCAAGTTCTCTGAAAATGGATTGCCCGTCTCTCTTGAACGCGGCTGCGTCAGGGTTTTTCGCCAACCATGACTCAAGCAAATCAAACGAGAGCTGCAAAAAGAAGGTGAACACGATTAGAAAACTTTATTCATTTAATTCTGATTCTCTCTCGTGCACATATGTCAACGGAGATGAGTTTTGCAGATAATCGGTACCTGATTCTCTGCAAGACCCATCTGAATAATCCCAGTTGGGTTCTTGATCTCATCATAAGGATTGTTTTCATACTCTTGCCAACCCAGAAAATAAGAAGAATCTTGGCCATGAGTATTCAAAGTAACTTTTCTGGACAGCGTCCTCATTTTGTCGTGCAACCTGTTTGTGGTGATACCGATTCAAGAGGAAGCTAGAAGATAGCGGGTATTTTGTTTGGAAGCTGAGGAAATGATGGAAAGAAGTGAATTGGATTGTTTTGGAATGGAGGATTGTAGAGGAAGGTGACATATATATATATAGGCGGGGGATGTGAAAATTTTAACACAGGAATGGAATTAATTGGAATTAGACAGCATTAGAAAGAAAATTTTGACCACATCCCAGACAGGATTTCTGGGCTAACTGATATGATTATTGAAAATGATAAGACAACGCGCTTTCTACACCGTCTTTCTCCGAGTTCTGACTTGATTAACACACAAAATCCTCTGCTTCACTACCCACAAAGTCGCGTGAAGTAATAATATATCTTTTCTTTTATTTATTTATTTATTTATTCTGAACATGCATATGGTCGTCACTTGTTTCTCAAGATTTTTCACTGACTATATTTCAACAAATAATTAAAACTTGCAGCACATTAGAAGTATTTTATTTCTTTTTTTAATTTAGTAGGTTTAAGTTATTTTTGGACCAACACTCGAATATTCATATATCGTGACAACATATATTATGAAAATATTATGAAGTGAAAATTTAAGATAGGAGAAACAAAAAAAAAAAAGAATAGCAGTGAGTTTAATGGTAGCTATTACCGACAGACAAGAAATCTTTGCACAGAAAATGTTGAAGAGTGACGGAACGAAGTCCATGTTAAGTTCAACTTGAGAGTGGCCCCTTCTGGTCTCTTCTCCTGCCTCATTCTGCTCCCTAATCTCCATTAAATCTTCTTTAGTATGTCGGCCATTAATTTTTATTTTTATTTTCTTAAACAACAGAATCTTAAATTGGTTTATCATTCATATATATATATATATATATATATATAATAACACATACGTATAGTATAAAATAACTTACACGTTTTTACCCTTTGGTGGTGATGTAAAAATTCTCTTATAATCAACTACTTGGAAATTAGAGGATTTTTTTTTAAAAAAATAAGGAACCAGTTCTATTATATACACACCTGGTCAACACATACCATGGATTTCCAGTTTTATCTGCTCAACGTAGCAACTAGAACTTGCTATCAAATTGAATTTGATTATTAATTAACCCTCTCAATTTCAAGTTTTATTCATGGAATCTAAAGTCAAACAACGAGAATAACAGAGAGAGAGAGCGGCAGCTAATTAGCCAAGATCTCATTGTCTCATCCACTAATTTTTCGATAATGGTAGTTTGAATTAATTAATTTACTTAATCCACCATTAATTTGCAAAAGAAAGGAAATTTAAAGCAAGTAAAATGATGGCACTCGGTGACTATTTTTCCTACCAAAATTAAATATTATTTACGTTTTCTAGAAAAAGTTAAAATCAATTCCAAACTGGCAATAAAAAATCATGTTGAGAAATCAAATTCCAAAAACTTGAAATTTAAATATTCATCTTAAACTAACATCCCAGAATCGAAATTCGTGTTAATTATTTATTTCAATTTATTATATACAAATGTAACTTTGGGGTATGTGTGTGTATTTATAAATCCATCTACGTATATATATGTATATGTGTATTCATATGTCTGGTTAAGGCGTGGAGTAAGTTAAAAGAAGAATGTAAACAATTGTCAGGCGCCCTTAGTTTTCAGCTCCCCGGTTTGCAATCAGTGTCTCATTTCTCATGATTAAAAATGCAAAGTAAGAAAACTAAAGGAATTACGACCTAATTATATTTAAGCATATTAAGGGGTTTGGTGGAGGAAGCTTTGTGAGGGGAGAAGTGGCGCTCCCAGTTTTGGAGAGTATTCTTTTTCCCTAACTTCCCTTGATCAATTTGTATTTGCTTCCCTTTAAATTAACGACTTTAATAGTTAACATCGAAATCAAGAGATTTTTAGAATTGATGGACAGCTCAATTCCGCGGCAATTCGTATTTTGTTTAGTTTGAGATTAATGTGTTAAAGAAAACATATTAACAAAGAGCAAAGGATTTGATTTAAGAAATTTATCAATTTAGTTTTCTTAGCCTAAAATTTCATAAGATGGGAAATACGTAGTAGTTTGTGACTCTAGTTTTGTAATTCTAAACATTGAGGATCGCTTTATGTTTGGTAATTTGTAATGGTAATGTACGACTTTGATGGAAAATTAAAAAAATTAAGTGATGAAGATCGTGACAATTTATTTAAAAAGTAAGTTAATTTATTAAAAGAAAAATAAAATCTATGTAAAATATTTATCGCTCAATTTTATAATACAGGCTTTAATGCATAACCTCTCAACTGATTCCGCAATAGAGAAATTAACTTACTTCCTAAGGTACCACATGTCTGAACAATAGAGCCAAGGTCTAAGCATCAAATTGACACTTGCTTTTTAAATTCATGACAAATCTTAAACATTATTGTAATCTTGTTACACTAATACAAGAAAAATAGTGCTTCATATCTAATAACCAATAAACAAATAGAAAAAGATAGCTCAATCCATTTTATAACATTCATCCATCATAAGTAGACTATCAAATCAATTAGTTTTTTCAACTTAGGAGCTTTTAATGATGATGCTACATCAATCACTAACCTAAATTACAATTTTACGTGATAACAATAAATTATTGATCTCTCATCAACAGAAAGTTAATGTAAGGCAATAACAAATGTAACTTGCTAAGTTATCCATCAAGACATTTATTTGCCTATTTGTGTAGACAATCTAGAAACACCTCGTTAAAGGGTGCTTTCCCCGACCATATATTCGTCTAAAATTTGATCCTAGCAACATTGCTCATAGTAATCACAAAACCATCCTTGAGATTTCCCAAGGTTTAACACCTTCGATTAAGGAAATAAACAACAAAATAAATTAT